GAAGCAGGATTGAAGACAAGATGGAGATGAGGCATCAGCCTTTTATAGTCTTTTCCAGGTGTAAGAACACCTCTTTGTCCTTACTTTAATTTATTTATTTATTTATTTATTTATTTTTTACTGTGGAAAATTACAGCAAAATGGAGTCTGGAGTCACATGGGCAAGTCCCTGCATACTTTGCTGAGTTACAAGGCGTATCTGCCTTCTCTCAATGGGTCAATTGTATAGCTGATGGTCCTTAATGGGCCATCAAACAGGCTAGGCAGAGCTAACACCAACTTGTCTGGAGTGTCACCCAGAAGCACAGCATAATTTTGAAATACAGACAGTCTAGAGTCAATACTTATAACTTTAAATACAAAAATGATATATGCATACAGATAGCATAATCATAACCACCAAGCCATAACCTTGTCTTAGACACCTTATTTGACCCCCTTTATACCAGATTTGGTGCCACTACCTTGGTTGCAACAATGATCGATATGGTCCCAGAATATATCAGTAACGTCACAGGGGAAAGGCAAGGATGTGAGCTGAGAGGGGCTGGAGCTGCTGCTGCTGTACAGTCCCAGCCCATTTCAGGTCAGGTGGTGGCCAGGATCCAGCTGGAGCCAGGGTGGTGTGGGGGAGAGGATGTATCTGGGTCCTTTTTGTCCCAGGTTGGTCAGGACGTCCCTCAGGCATAGTCGAGAAGGCCCCGGGTCCCAGGAGATGGTGAGCGCGGCAGATGCTGGTGACGTTTGCTCGAGTAGCCTCCATCTGTTCTCCTCCACCAAAGTCTCTTTCTCTAAGGACCCCAAAAGGCAGTGATGGCAGAATAGCCCACCCCCTCATTATTGTCCACCAATCAGGCCTAATATCCAGCACACCAATTTTAATTGATTAATTTCCAGTTCCACGTCATCTGATTTTTACCAAGCATGATTTTAACCCAGTCCTGGAGTTATATTCCCATGCCTTCTGCACCCCGGCAACGGGGTGACGGTACACCCCAGCTCCCTGGTTCCACCTCAGTTCCCAGACTCCTCAGCACAAGGCACTAGACAGGTTTATAGGAACACCAGACTGGAGTTTATTGAGTGAAAATGCTTCAGATAAAAGCAAGTGCAAGGGAACATGAGTTTATAATTACACCTCTACCTCGATATAACGTTGTCCTCGGGAGACAAAAAAATCTTACCGCATAGGTGAAACCGCGTTATATTGAACTTGCTTTGATCCACCAGAGTGCACAGCCCCGCCCCCCCGGAGTGCTGCTTTACCGCGTTATATCTGAATTCGTGTTATATCGGGTCGCGTTATATCGGGGTAGAGGTGTAGCTTCATCCACAAAGATGACATCAGAATGCATTCAAGTTTGGACATGTGTTTCTGAATAGACTGAAGTTCAGTTCGAGCCTGTGCAGTGAGATTGAGAGATTCAAGCTCATTTAAAGCCTTTCTCACTGAATTCAAATGTTGCGCTATTGGTTGAACACCATCAATCCGTGCAGACCATCTAGTTTTGGACCTCCCATGCAGTGAAACAGGAAGATAATGCTTCAGAATTTCCCACCTTTGTGGACTGCTACTGAAGAGATTGTACATTTGCTGAACAGTTCCAAAGTAAGTAATTGCCTCCTTGCATGATTCAGGATAGTCAACACCTACAAGGTTTAGTGTGTGGTTTCCACAGCTGGAAAAAATACAGTTTGAATTATGCTCAAGCAGAACTGCTTGTACACCTTTGTACTTCCCAGCCATATTAGATCCATTGTCATAGGCTTGACCAATGCAGACTTGAAAATCTAACTTAAAACCTTCTAGAATTGCTAGAACTTGAGCAGCAATTTCTTTCCCAGTTTTTCTCATGAAATTATCAAACAAAATAAACCTTTCTTCAATTGACAATTTTGAGCTGTCTACAATCTTAACATATCGAATAACCATAGTAGTCTGTTCCTTGCGAGAACAATCTGGAGTGGCATCAACAATACTTGAAAAATACTTGGCATTTCGAATCTCATCAAGAATTGTTGTTTGTACGAATGACCCACATAGCTCAAACTCGTTTCACAATCACCAATACATTGACTGGAACCAAAGAAAGCCAATCCCCAATCAGAAAGAAAAAGGATGACGTTCAGGATGCACTCAAGACGTTTTTTCCAGTTATTAGTTTCTGTAGAGAGTTCAGTCAGGAGTAAATTCTCAACTGAACTTTCAGCCGATGCTGCCCTACTGGCTGATTTCCAAGCAACATAGTTTTCTTTGTGTGACGTTGAACTCTCATGTGATGGTATTTGCTCTTTCAACTTCCTCCAACCTCTGTTGATGCTCCATCCTGATTGATCAGAGAGAACTGATGCATTTGCAGCACTTTTGTTCAAAATGAAGCAGTGTGCACAGTACAGAGATTGTTTTTCCGTACTCCAGAATAACCAGTCTCTTGTGCAGGTCTCACCATTTGGAAGAGGTTTTTGTCAGCGGACAAGTGAGGAAAGCAGGATTATCAGCATCTCGTGGAATGTTACTTGGAATTTCAAAACAACTAATTTGAAGAAAAGATTGCATTTAGGCAGCATTGCTCTTGTTAATAATTCCAATGTCAGTCACAGTCAAACCTGTAGTACTCATGAATTGCTTGCTACATAAGATATATACACACACACATCTCATAGAGCTGGAAGGGACCCTGAAAGGTCATCGAGTCCAGCCCCCTGCCTTCACTAGCAGGACCAACACCTGATTTTGCCCCAGATCCCTAAGTGGCCCCCCCAAAGGATTGAACTCACAACCCTGGATTTAGCAGGTCAATGCTCAAACCACTGAGCTATCCCTGTTGCTGTTGAGTTTCTTGATTGTACACAGGATCTTCTGCTGCATCTGTTACTGTTGGCACATCTCCTTCTTGAGTACTGCCCTCATGTTCAGGTATTGGCATTGAAATATCACCTGTTGCAGTTGAGGAGTTTTCATTATCTGTCGCATTGTTTGTTGGGTAAGGCGTGTTTTCCAGTGGTTTGAGAAATGAAGTTATTGGCTTTGAGCTCTTAGCTGCTGCTTCACTCAGTTGTTTTCGCCGTCTCTTGCTTGCATCACTTTCAGATCTCCTCTTCGTAATGATCTATCTGGTCAATATGCAGCCTATCCACACTTGAAATATTCTGCAGTAAATAAGTAGCTTATCTACACTTGAAATCCTCTACTGTAAACATGTACACAAATGCTGAATGGTACACAAATGCTGAATGGTACACTGTCAAGGTACCCCCACACACACTTGGAACTCTGGGGTCCAGATGTGGGGACCTACATGAATGACCCCCTAAGCTTATTTCTACCAGCTTAGGTTAAAAACTCCCCCAAGGCACAAATTCCTTTCCTTGTCCTTGGATGGTATTGCTGCCACCACCAAGTGATTTACACAAAAATTCAGGGAAGGGTCACTTGGAATCCCTATCCCCCCAAAATATCCCTCCAATCCCCTTCACCCCCTTTCCTGGGGAGGCTTCGGAATAAAATACCAACCAATTGCCTTAGCAATTTGAGTACAGACCAGACCCTTTATCTTCAGGACACTAAAATCAATCAGGTTCTTAAAAGAAGAACTTTATTATCAAGAAAAAAGTAAAAGAATCACACCTGCAAAATCAGAATGGAAGGTAACTTTACAGGGCTATAAAAAGATTTAAAACACAGAGGATTCCCCTCTGGACTCAGCTTCACAGTTACAAAAACAGGAATGAAACTACCTCTGTAGCACAGGGAAATTCACAAGCCAAAACAAGAGATAACCTAGCGCATTTCCTTGCCCTACTCACAATTTCTTTGGTTTTAGATGGATTATTTCAGGTATATGTTTCAGGAGATGTTGTACCTGCTTGCCTTCTCCCTCCATCCGGAGAGGGAACAACATACAGAACAACAAACAAATCCTGCCTCTCCCCAGATTTGAAAATATCTTCTTTCCTCATTGGTCCTTCTGGTCAGGTGCCAACTAGGTTATTTGAACTGCTTAACCCTTTACAGGGTTAATCCAGTACAGCTGCCAAGCAGGGATTTTATGCTACCCTTCCCCCTATATTCATGACATACACAGGTGCTGAAAAGACTTAAAATGAAGAAATACTAATTAAGAACATGTTGTGGAAAAATTACCACGCGTTGTGTTTGGATCAGAACAGCCTGAGGCTCCTTTATTACAAGCATGCAGGGAGAGCCCACCAATCTGGCAGCTCTCTCGAACAAAGAAACCCAAAAGCTTATATAGCTTAAAACCACAATTAGTCAAACACACTTCTTCATTAGTAATTTTCCTTAACAGAAAAGCAGCACCTTATTAGGAATACAGAAGCACAAGCTTTCCTGTTGATTAACAGGTTGTTCTTTTGCGGTTAACACAGAAGCTTATAGTTCTTCTTCGAGTGCTTGCTCATATCGATTCCAATTAGGTGTGTGCGCGCTGCGTGCACAATCGTCGGAGAATTTTCACCCTAGAAACACCCAGTGGGTCGGCTGTGGAGCTCCCTGGAGTGGCGCCTTCATGGCGCTGGATATATACCCCAGTCGACCCAGCGCCCCCTCAGTTCCTCCTTACCGCCCGTGACGGTCGTTGGAACTGTGGAGCGCAGCATAGCTGTCCTCCACTCTCCCTAGCTCTTCCTTCCCGGCTAGGTATTGTTGTAGTTATTAGTTAGTTGTATAGTTATAGATTTAGTGTAGTTTAGTAATTCATAGTTCTAGAGTAGTTTATAAGTGAAGTTAGCGGGCTGAAAGGGGGTTTCTCCCCCCTTTCCCCCTGGCATGCCGCCCGGGCTCATGTCCAAGGCTCCGGGGTTTAAACCGTGCGCGACCTGCGCTAAGCCTATGCCAACGGGGGATCCCCACAACTCTTGTTTAAAGTGTCTTGGGGAGTCTCACCAGACCGATAAGTGTAAGATCTGTAAGGCTTTCCGGCCTCGAACTAAAAAGGAGCGGGACTTTAGGCTCAAGCAGCTCCTCATGGAATCGGCCCTCAGCCTGGAGCCTCCTTCGTCACGCCAAGTTCCGGCACCGAGCGCCTCAGTGCGCAGTGCTCCGGCGGCAACCTCCAGTACTGCACCCCGAGGAGACGTGGATAAAGTCCCACGGCACCAACCTCCGCCGGCACCGCGTCCGCTGCAAGCTCCTCGGCGCCGGTCCCTGTCTCCGGGTCAGACGAGACCTTGTAAACTGGAGGGGACTGCCTCACAACAGCAGGCACCGGCACCCCCCTTGCCAACCTCTGATTCGCATCCGGGACCGGAGCAACTGAGGATACAGGCGCCGACATCAGCACCGTTGACTCCAGCACCGGCAGAAGGGCCGTTGAGTCCGGTGCGGACTGGCTCCCCAACCCGTACCATGGTTGAGCCCTGTCTTCCATCTACGCCAGAGACGTTTGCGATGGTGAGGGACCTCATTGCCCTCACAGAACCGGCACCATCTCAGACTGCGGCACCGCACCCTAACCGCACGGTGCAGTCTAGGGGCAAGCCAACCCTACTACGCCCTCCATCTCCGAGCGTGGACACGCGGCACCGCTACCGGTCTAGGAGCAGGTCCCGGCAGTGCTCGCAGTCCCGGCGCCGTTGTCTATCACGGCACCAGTCGTACTTGCGGCCCAGATCTTCCTCCCGGTACCGTTCCACCTCTCAGCACCGCCCCGCACCTCGGTACCGTTCGGACTCCTGACGCAGATCCCGGCACCGGTCTGAGCGCCGATCCTGCTCGAGAGGCCGCTCCCGGCACCGCTCCCACAGACAGTCTTCATCGCGATCCAGGTCTGGATCTCGGTACCGGCATGACCATCGGCACCGTTCTCGATCCCGGTACCGCTCCCCGGCACCGCGCAGAGACCGCTCTCCTGTGGGCCGGCACCGCTCGGCACCGTTCCCAGCGGAGTCAATGCACGCACGCTCCGCACTGCCCTGGCCCTCACGATCTGCCTCACACTCTTCACAGTCTGACGGCACCTCCCGCTCAGCCTATGCCGCTCCGGGTCAGGCAGCAGACGACCTGGGCCAGTGGCAGGATGGGGCCGAAGACCCTAGACAGGATCCTGCACACTGGTCTTTCTGGACCCCGTGGGCATATCACCAAGCCCAATGGGCTCCACTGGCGGCCTGCCGCCCAGCACGTTCAGAGCCCCGGGTCCCAGGGCCCCCCCCCGGCCCCCCCCCCCCCCCCCCCCCCGGGGGGTATGGAGGCACCTGCGCTGACTCCTACGCCGGCCCCAGACCCCGATACAATGGATCCTGGACATCAGGACCCCTCGCAACTGGAACCGCCACAGGATCCATTACCCCCTGAAGCATCCTCCTCATCTTCCCCAGATGAGGCGGTGGCGGGGACAATGGCCTTGGGTCCCTCCCCAATAGACCTACATGCTCACCAAGACCTTTTACATAGGGTGGCATGTAACATGGATCTCCAAGCAGAGGAGATAGTGGAGTTGGAGGACCCGGTGGTGAGCATCCTTTCAGCTGATGCCCCACCCCGGGTAGCGTTATCCATCATCCACACCATTCAGGCTAACACCAAGACAATATGGCAGACCCCTGCCTCTATCCCACCATCTATGCCAGAGGGGTGGAGAGGAAATACTTTGTTCCCTCTAAGGAGTATGAATACCTGTATACTCACCCTCAGCCATGTTCACTGGTGGGGTCCTCAGTGAACGCAAGGGAACGCCATGGTCAACAGGCTGCAGCGCTCAAATCAAAGGACGCCAAGCGTTTCGATTTGTTTGGATGCAAAATTTACTCAACGGGGGGGTCTGCAGCTCAGAGCCGCAAGCCAACAGGCGCTCTTGAGCCGCTATGATTATAACTCGTGGAACTCCATGGGTAAATTTAAGGAGTTGATCCCCCAAGACTCGAGGGATGAGTTTGGGGCCTTGGTGGAAGAGGGTAAAAAGGTGGCTAGGACCTCCTTACAGGCCTCTTTGGACGTAGTGGACTCTGCTGCTAGGACACTAGCGTCGGGCATAGCTATGCGATGCATCTCCTGGCTACAAGTGTCTGGCTTACCGCCAGAACTGCAACAGACCCTTCAAGATCTGCCATTTGATGGGCAGGGCCTGTTCTCAGACAAAACGGACTCTCGGTTACAGAGCCTTAAAGATTCCAGAACCATCACGCGCTCCCTGGGGATGCATGTCCCAGGACCCCAGCGCAGACCCTTTAGACCACAGCCTCAAAGGTTCTACCTTCCTCCCCCTCGTCCAAGACAAAACTTTTCCAGAAGACGTGGACGAGGTGGTAGAAGGAGATCCACCGGCCACCAACCCGGTCAGAACCAAGGCCCTCCTAGACCATCTTCAGGGCCCAGGCAAAATTTTTGAAGGTGCGCCCGAGGACGGCGTACTAGTCACCATCCAGGATCCATTCCCTTTATTTCAGGATCGCCTCTCCCATTTCCACTGTGCGTGGTCCCTTATAACTTCGGACCAATGGGTTCTTCGCACGGTGGAAAGGGGATACGCTCTCCAATTTTCTTTGTCCCCCTCCTCCCATCCTCCCCGTCCCTCTTCAGGGACCCCTCTCACGAGCAACTCCTTATACAGGAGGTTTTTACGCTCCTGTCCATGGGAGCGATAGAGGAGGTTCCATCAGACTTAAGGGGCAGGGGGGTTTACTCCCGCTATTTCCTGATTCATAGATTCATAGATTCTAGGACTGGAAGGGACCTCGAGAGGTCATCGAGTCCAGTCCCCTGCCCGCATGGCAGGACCAAATACTGTCTAGACCATCCCTGATAGACATTTATCTAACCTACTCTTAAATATCTCCAGAGATGGAGATTCCACAACCGCCCTAGGCAATTTATTCCAGTGTTTAACCACCCTGACAGTTAGGAACTTTTTCCTAATGTCCAACCTAGACCTCCCTTGCTGCAGTTTAAGCCCATTGCTTCTTGTTCTATCCTTAGAGGCTAAGGTGAAGAAGTTTTCTCCCTCCTCCTTATGACACCCTTTTAGATACCTGAAAACTGCTATCATGTCCCCTCTCAGTCTTCTCTTTTCCAAACTAAACAAACCCAATTCTTTCAGCCTTCCTTCATAGGTCATGTTCTCAAGACCTTTAATCATTCTTGTTGCTCTTCTCTGGACCCTTTCCAATTTCTCCACATCTTTCTTGAAATGCGGTGCCCAGAACTGGACACAATACTCCAGCTGAGGCCTAACCAGAGCAGAGTAGAGCGGAAGAATGACTTCTCGTGTCTTGCTCACAACACACCTGTTAATACATCCCAGAATCATGTTTGCTTTTTTTGCAACAGCATCACACTGTTGACTCATATTTAGCTTGTGGTCCACTAGAACCCCTAGATCCCTTTCTGCCGTACTCCTTCCTAGACAGTCTCTTCCCATTCTGTATGTGTGAAACTGATTTTTTTCTTCCTAAGTGGAGCACTTTGCATTTGTCTTTGTTTAACTTCATCCTGTTTAACTCAGACCATTTCTCCAATTTGTCCAGATCATTTTGAATTATGACCCTGTCCTCCAAAGCAGTTGCAATCCCTCCTAGTTTGGTATCATCCGCAAACTTAATAAGCGTACTTTCTATGCCAATATCTAAGTCGTTAATGAAGATATTGAACAGAGCCGGTCCCAAAACAGACCCCTGCGGAACCCCACTCGTTATGCCTTTCCAGCAGGATTGGGAACCATTAATAACAACTCTCTGAGTACGGTTATCCAGCCAGTTATGCACCCACCTTATAGTAGCCCCATCTAAATTGTATTTGCCTAGTTTGTCGATAAGAATATCATGCGAGACCGTATCAAATGCCTTACTAAAGTCTAGGTATACCACATCCACAGCTTCTCCCTTATCCACAAGACTCGTTATCCTATCGAAGAAAGCTATCAGATTGGTTTGACATGATTTGTTCTTTACAAATCCATGCTGGCTGTTCCCTATCACCTTACCACCTTCCAAGTGTTTGCAGATGATTTCCTTAATTACTTGCTCCATTATCTTCCCTGGCACAGAAGTTAAACTAACTGGTCTGTAGTTTCCTGGCTTGTTTTTATTTCCCTTTTTATAGATGGGCACTATATTTGCCCTTTTCCAGTCTTCTGGAATCTCTCCTGTCTCCCATGATTTTCCAAAGATAATAGCTAGAGGCTCAGATACCTCCTCTATTGTAACCAACCTTGTTTGTCTGAGCGATTGGCTGACCAAGAAGTAGGACTGAGTGGACTTGTAGGCTCTAAAGTTTTACATTGTTTCGTTTTTGAATGCAGTTATTTTTGTACATAATTCTACATTTGTAAGTTCAACTTTCAGGATAAAGAAATTGCACTACAGTACTTGTAATGGGGGAATTGAAAAAATACTATTTCTTGTTTTTTTACACTGCAAATATTTGTAATAAAAAATAAATATAAACTGAGCACTGTATAAAAATGTAGAAAACATCCATAAATATTTAAATAAATTGAATTCTATTATTGTTTAACAGTGTGATTAATCGCAATTAGTGTTTTTAATCGCTTGACAGCCCTAGTAAACAGTGATGTGGCAAAATTTGAAGATGATACAAAACTACTCAAGATAGTTAAGTCCCAGACAGATTGCGAAGAGCTACAAAAGGATCTCACGAAACTGGGTGACTGGACAACAAAATAGCAGATGAAATTCAATGTTGATAAATCCAAAGTAATGCACATTGGAAAACATAATCCCATATACAATGATGGGGTCTAAATTAGCTGTTACCACTCAAGACAGAGATCTTGGCGTCACTGTGGATAGTTCTCTGAAATCATCCACTCAATGTGCAGCGGCGTCAAAAAAGCGAACAGAATGTTGGGAATCATTAGGAAAGGGATAAATAAGACAGAAAATATATTGCCTCTATATAAATCCATGGCACACCCACATCTTGAATACTGTGTGCAGATGTGGTCGTCCCATCTCAAAAAAGATATATTGGACTTGGAAAACGTTCAGAAAAAGGCAACACAAATGATGAGGGGTTTGGAACGGCTCCCAATGAGGAGAGATTAATAAGACTGGGACTTTTCAGCTTGGAAAAGAGAAAACTAAGGTGGGATATGATAAAGGTCTATAAAATCATGGCTGGTGTGGAGAAAGTAAATACGGACGTGTTATTTACTCCTTCTCATAAGGCAAGAACTAGGGGTCACCAAATGAAATTAATAGGCAGCAGGTGTAACACGTACAAAAGGAAGTATTTTTTCACACAACACACAATCAACCTGTGGAACTCCCTGCCAAAGGATGTGGTGAAGGCCAAGACTATAACAGGGGTTAAAAAAGAACTAGGTAAGTTCATGGGGGATAGGTCCATCAATGGCTATTAGCCAGGATGGGCAGGGATGGTGTCTCTAGCCTCTGTTGGCCAGAAGCTGAGAATGGGCGACAGGGGATGGATCACTTGATGATTCCCTGTTCTGTTCATTCCCTCTGGGGCATCTGACACTGGCCACTGTCGGAAGACAGGATACTGGTCTAGATGGACCTTTGCTCTGACCCAGTGTGGCTGTTATTTACTGCAGAGCCGTGGCACCGACCCCCAACAGGGTCTCCCCACCCCCTGGAACAACCTGGGCCCCTGCCCCGCCCATCACAGTGCCAGGCCCGCGGGGGGTCTGACACGGCCCGCGGGGGGTCTGACACGGCCCGGATCGCTACCCACTAGTGCCAGCCCTGGGGATGGTCTCATGGACCAGGGAAATCCCCTCCCGCTCTGTGTGTGACGAGCCTGCGGAACATACTATCACCAGACACAATGGGGCCGGGCGCTTAGAGTCCTATTTCTCTAATGCCGGAGACAGGAATGCCAATGTGTGGGGGGAGGGGAGGAACCGCCACCCGGCAGGCTCCCAGGGCCCCCCGGTAGGTCCCGGCCCTCGCTGCTTACCTGGATCCGGCTGTTGCCCCAGTCGGCCACGATAATGTTGCCGTTGGAGTCCACGGCCACACCGGTGGGGGCGTTGAACTGCCCGTTCCCCTCCCCGTGGGAGCCGAACTTGAAGAGGAACTCGCCGTCGGCGCTGTACACCTGGGTGGGGAGGGGCTCGTCACCCCACCAGCCCCCGACCCAGCGCTGGGCTGGCAGGGACCCGCCCGGCTGGGAGGAGGGCTACGAGCCGCGCTGGGGCAGAGCTGGAACCTGGAGGGGGCGCTGGCTCGATGGAGGGCCACCAAGGGCTGGGGAGCCCCCGGAGCACGGGACTCGGGCAGGCCGAGGGGGGCCGGGCTGGCGCCGGGGAACGGGCAGCGAGGGAGAGCCCAACTCCACACTCCACAGCAGACAGGCTCGGTGGCGACCTCGTAACTGCTCTGCTCTGGGCTCCCCAAGGACACCCCACGCTGAGGTCGGGGACTGACGAACCCGGCACTGCCCTGAGCTGCGGGGCTCCCGGCTGGGGGGGGGGGGGGGGGCCGGGGCCCCCGGGGGGGGGGGGGGGGGGGGCGGGGGCCCCCGGCTGGGCGGGGGGCGGCGGCAGGACACGGCCCCCCAGGACCCGTCATGGCTGGACGCGCTGGGCAGAGCTCAGCCGGGACGCAGGCGGTCAGAGCGCAGGGGGTCAATCTCTGGGGCGTTGAGGCGCTGTGTGGGGAGGGAGAGCGGGACCCCGGGGTCTGGCCCGCTGAAGGGTCCCTCCCAGGGCCCATCCTGTGGCTAGTTGCCGGGGCACGGGCAGAGCCAGGGCCCGACTCACCTTCACCGAGTGGTTGTGGAAGTCGGTCACCACGATCTCGTTCTTGTTGTTAACAGCGACGAAGTGGGGCCCTGGGAGGAGAGAAGGAAACCCCTGAACCTGCCTCAGCGCACGGGGCTGGAGTGGGCTCCGCTCGTGGGGCAGGGGGAACGAGCGCCTGCCTCGTGGCGGGGCAGGTCTGCCAGCTCTCCTGGGGATGGGGCAGGGAGGGCCACACGCCGGGGCAGCGGAGGTTAATGCGCGGTGAATGCTGTCAGAGCAGCTGGTGAGCCTGGGCCCTGGGGTGGGCGTGTGGGGAGGGGCAGTTAGTGACCACAGCAGCTGCCAGACCCATTAGAGAGGGAGAGACCTCAGCAGGAAACACCAGCCGGGAAGGGCATCACGGCCATTCAGAGGAGAAGTGCTGAGAAAAGAGAGAAAAGAACCCAGGAGTCCGGGCTCCCAGCCCCCTCCTGCTCTAACCACCAGACCCCACTCCCCTCCCAGCTGGGAGAGAACCCAGGAGTCCTGGCTCCTGGTCCCCTCCTACTCTAACCACTAGACCTCACTCCCCTCCCAGAGCCGGGAGAGAACCCAGGAGTCCTGGCTCGCAGCCCCCCTGTTCTAACCACTAGACCCCACTCCCCTCCCAGCTGGGAGAGAACCCAGGAGTCCTGGCTCCTGGTCCCCTCCTACTCTAACCACTAGACCTCACTCCCCTCCCAGAGCCAGGGAGAGAACCCAGGAGTCCTGGCTCCCAGCCCCCCCGCTCTAACCACTAGCATCCACTCCCCTCCCAGAGCCAGGGAGAGAACCCAGGAGTCCTGGCTCCCAGCCCCCCCTGCTCTAACCACTAGCATCCACTCCCTTCCCAGAGCCAGGGAGAGAACCCAGGAGTCCTGGACCCCAGTCTCGCACTCAGGCCACGAGTGTGTGCTGCCTGTCCAAGCGCCCTGCAACCCAGCGGAGTGAAGGTTCCCGAACTCACCAGGCTGGCCCAGCAGCAAGCCAAAGGCATGCAGTAGTAAGGACCTGCTGGTCGCGGTATTACCATCGAGGGTACCTGCAAACTGCCGCTCCGCCGTCCCGCGGCCGCCAAACTTGGTCACCAGCTTCCCGTTGGACTGGAAGATGAAGACGCAGCAGGCCTTGTTGTCCACCACGATGATGTGGCCATTGCGGTCCACGGCCACGCCCTTGGGGCCCATCAGCCGCCCAGCCCCGATCTTCGTCTGCAGCGGCAGGGAGCAGGACATTGGATCACGTGGCCTGGGGGCTGGAACCTGCACGAGCCCTGCCTCCCTCCACCCAGCCCCGCGTCTGGAACGGGAACATGTCCCCAATAACCTGTCCCTGCGGAAGGGCCCCTGGGCTGGGGGCTAGACCCCGCTATTCAACCCCTCGGGCGTTGCTCTGTAGGCTCGTTACGGGGCACAAGAACGGCCCTACTGGGTCAGAGCAAAGATCCATCTAGCCCAGTCTCCTGTCTGCCGACAGTGGCCAGTGCCAGGTGCCCCAAAGGGGATGAACAGAACAGGGAATCATCAAGTGATCCATCCCCGGTCACTCATTCCCAGCTTCTGGCCAACAGAGGCACCATCCCCGCGCATCCTGGCTAATAGCCATTGATGGACCTATCCTCCATGAACTTACCTAGTTCTTTTTTGAACCCTATTATGGTCTTGGCCTTCACAACATGCTCTGGCAAGGAGTTCCACAGGTTGACTGTGCATTGTGTGAAAAAATACTTCCTTTTGTTTGTTTTAAACCTGCTGCCTATTAATTTCATTTGGGGACCCCTAGTTCTTGTATTATTAGAAGGAGTAAATAACACTTCCTTATTGACTTTCTCCACACCAGTCACATGATTTTATAGACCTCTATTGTATCCCCCCTTAGTCATCTCTTTTCCGAGCTGAAAAGTCCCAGGCTTATTAATCTCTCCTCATACAGAAGCCGTTCCATACCCCTCATCATTTTTGTTGCCCTTCTCTGTATCTTTTCCAATTCTAATATATCTTTTTTGAGATGGGGTGACCACATCTCCACACAGTATTCAAGATGTGGGCGAACCATGGATTTATATAGCGGCAATATGATATTTTCTGTCTTATTATCTCTCCCTTTCTTAATGATTCCCAACATTCTGTTGGATTTTTTGACTGCCGCTGCACATTGAGCGGATGATTTCAGAGAACTATCCACAGTGACTCCAAGATCTCTTTCTTGAGCGGTAACAGCTAATTCAGACCCCATCAGCTTATAGGTATAGTTGGGATTATAAAAACAACGAGGGGTCCTTGTGGCACTTTAGAGACTAACAAATGTATTTGGGCCTAAGCTTTCGTGGGCTAGAACCCACTTCATCAGATGCATGGAGTGGAACATACAGTAGCAGGTCTATATACACAGTAGATGAAAAGCTGGGAGTTGCCTTACCAAGTGGGGGTCGGTGCTAACGAGCTAGTTCAATGAAGGTGGACGTGGGCTGTTCTCAGCAGTGGACGAGAAGGGGGCAAATCAGTTTTGTAGGGTTAACAAGGCCAATGTAAACAAGGTGGCCCCTTTCGAGCAGTTGACGAGAAGGGGTGAGTATTTAGCAAGGGGGACATGAGTTTGTGTAAAAACAACGAGGAGTCCTTGTGGCACCTTGGAGACTAACCCATGGATTTAGTTTTTGTATTGATGAGTTGGGATTCTGGTTGCCATGGGCATTACTTTGCATTTATCAACATTGAATTTCACCTGCCAGTTTGTTGCCCCGTCACCCAGTTTTGTGGGATCTCTTCGTAGCCCTTTTGCCACCTCACTGTTTACCCCTTTCTCCAGATGAATCTGTGGAATAGGACGGGGCCCAGAACCGACCCCTGGGGTCACCACTATTTACCTCTCTCCAGTCTGAAAACTTGACCATTTATTCCTACCCTCTGTTTCCTGTCTTTTAACCTGTTACCAATCCGTGTCGGACAATTTTGTTCTTTACTTTAGTTTCAACCAGTTTGCCCAGTACTGAAGTCAGGCTTACTGGCCTGTAATTGCCGGGATCACCTCTGGTGCCCTTTTTAAAAAGTGGCATCACGTTAGCTATCCTCCAGTCATTTGGTACAGAAGCTGATTTAAGCAATAGGTTATAGATTACAGTTAATAGTTCTGCAATTTCACATTTGAGTTCCTTCAGAACTCTTGGGTGAATTCCATCTGGTCCTGGTGACTTACTGCTGTTTAATTTATCAATCTGTTCCCAAACCTCCTCTAATGACACCTCAGTCTGGGATAGGTCCTCAGATTTGTCATCCTGCTCAGCTCCTGGCTCAGGGGGACCTAGTGGCAGAGAGTTCCACAGGCCAGTTGTGAAGTGGGTTTCCAAATGTGTCCTTTGCCCCAGTATACAGATGCTCCCTGTCAGGGTCTCCCCTTCATTCCAGGGGGAGGGAGACACTCAAACCCACCATCTCTGCCCCAGGCAGGTCTTTCCCTCCCTCAATCCCGTCCCCTCTGGGCACTAACCGGCCCCCTGGTCACTCTCTGCCCTGCCCTCTCACCTTGAACTTGCCCTCGGGGGAGAAGATGCTGACCCAGCGGTTGTCGTAGTCGGCGATGATGATGTCCCCGTTCATGTCGACCGTGACGCCGGTGGGGCGCTGCAGCTGCCCAGGGGAGCGGCCCCGCACGCCGAAGCGCAGCCGGAACTGGCCCTCGTTGGAGAAGACCTGGTGGGGGCAGAGCAGGGCGGTCAGTGGGGGGAAGCTGGGGGGGGCAGGGGAGGGGGCTGGAGCCGACGAGTCCCTACCTGCACACACTGGTTATTGCTGTCGGCCACCACGATGCGACCAGAGCTGGAGGTGGAGATGCCCTGCAGGTTGGTGAATTCCCCCTTCTCCCGGCCTCGGCTTCCTACAGGCAGAGCACAGGGTGAGAGGCTTCAGCCGGGGCAGCCAGGCAGGAGGGGTATGGGGAGCGGGCCCAGAATCACAGCAGGGTAGGACCAGAGGGACTCCAGAGGTCGTCTAGCCCAGTCCCCTGCACTCATGGCAGGACCATCCCGGACAGGTGTTTGTCTAACCTCCCTGGGCAATTTATTCCAGTGCTTAGCCACCCTGACAGGAAGTTTTTCCTGATGTCCAACCTAAACCACCCTTGCTGCAATTTAAGCCCATTGCTTCTTGTCCTATCCCCGGAGGTTAAGAAAAACAATTCTTCTCCCTCCTCCTTGTAACAACCTTTTATGTACTTGAAAACTGTTATCATGTCCCCTCTCAGTCGTCTCTTCTCTTCTCTTCTCCAGACTAACCAAATCCAGTCCTTTCAATCTTCCCTCATAGGTCATGTGTTCTAGACCTTTCATCATTTTTGTTGCTCTTCTCTGGACTTTCTCCAATTTGTCCACATCCTTCCTGAAATGTGGCGCCCAGAACTGGACACACTACTCCAGTTGGGGCCTAATCAGCGTGGAATAGAGTGGAAGAATTACTTCTCGTGTCTTGCTTACAACACTCCTGCTAATACATCCCAAAATGATGTTTGCTTTCTTTTGCAGCAGTGTTACACTGTTTAGCTTGTTATCCACTCTGACCCCCAGATCCCTTTCCGCAGTACTCCTTCCTAGGCAGTCATTTCCCATTCTGTATGTGTGCATCTAATTGTTCCTTCCTAAGTGGAGTACTTTGCATTTGTCCTTATTGAATTTCATCCTATTTACTTGAGACCATTTCTCCAGTCTGTTCACAAACGTTGTAAGTGCACTCCCTATGCCGGTATCCAAATCACTGATGAAGAATCCAACGGCACCAGAGCCAGGACAGACTCCTGCGGGACCCCACTCCATGTGCTGTCACATTCCCCAGGGTACAATCTGGATATGTCCTTGCAGCTCGGAGTACGGCTTCCAAGAAGTTGCGCACTCACCTCACAGCAGGTTTGTCTAGGCACATCTCCCGCTTCCCCCCAGCCACAAGGCTTCTTACCCTGGCAGAGAAGGGCACGATTTGTTCTTGACAAATCCACGCTTGTGACGTTATTGATATAATCTGGGACCATATAGAACATGGTTGCAACCAAAGTCCTGTAGTGGCACCAAATCTTGTATAAAGGGGGTCACATGAGGTGTCTAAGACAAGGTTATGGTTTACTGGGTATAATTATGCTGTCTATATCTGTGTATCAATTTTGTAGTTGAAGTTATAAATATTGGCTCTAAACTGTCTGTATTTCAAATATCAGAGGGGAAGCCGTGTTAGTCTGAATCTGTAAAAAGCAACAGAGGGTCCTGTGGCACCTTTAAGACTAACAGAAGTATTGGGAGCATAAGCTTTCGTGGGTAAGAACCTCACTTCTTCAGATGCAAGTCATGTATTTCAAACTTATGCTATGCGTCTGGGTGACATCCCAGACAAGTTGGTGTTAGCTCTGCCTAGCCTGCTTGATGGCCCATTAAGGACCATCAGCTACAACTGACCCATGGATAGAAGGCAGATACGCCTTGTAACTCAGCAAAGTATGCAGGGACTGGCCCATGTGACTCCAGACTCCATTTTGCTGTAATTTTCCACAGTAAGGACAAAGAGGTGTTCTTACACCTGGAAAGGACTATAAAAGGCTAATGCCTCCTCTCCATCTTGTCTTCAATCCTGCTTCTTATCTCTGGAGGGACTTTGCTACAAACTGAAGCTTTGAACAAAGGACTGAGGACCCATCCCAGCTGGGGATGTTCCAGAGACTTGATTTGAACCTGCAGTTTATTCTATCGCTGCTACAAGCCTGAACCAAGAACTTTGCCATTACTGTATGTAATTGATTCCACTTAACCAATTCTAACTCTCATCTCTGTCTTTTCCCTTTTATGAATAAACCTTTAGATTTTAGACTCTAAAGGATTGGCAACAGCGTGATTTGTGGGTAAGATCTGATTTGTATATTGAGCTGGGTCTGGGGCTTGGTCCTTTGGGATCAGGAGAACCTTTTTTCTTTTACTGGGGTATTGGTTTTCACAACCATTTGTCCCCTAACGAGTGGCACTGGTGGTGATACTGGGAAACTGGAGTGTCTAAGGGAATTGCTTGTGAGACTTGCGGTTAGCCAGTGGGGTGAGACCGACGTCCTCTCTGGTCTGGCTGGTTTGGTTTGCCTTAGAGGTGGAAAAACCCCAGCCTTGGGCTGTAACTGCCCTGTTTGAGCGATTTGTCCTGCATTGGCACTCTCAGTTGGGTCCCGCCAGAACCGCATAGTTACACCACGCTGACTGTTACTTATTACCTCATTATCTTCTAGATGCTTACAAACCGATTGATTGCTCCATTATCTCTCCAGGTACTGAGGTTAAGCTGACTGGTCTGTAATTCCCTGGGTTAGTCCCCGTTTTATAGATAGGTCCTGATGTGATGGACTGTGCCTGGCTGGCTGGGGCCCGGGCCACGGAGAGGCCCAGAAGACACTGCCCGGACATTTGGCACCTAGCAACCGACGCTCAGGGATGGGCCCCCCTCTGCAGGCAGCCAGCCGGTGCGAGCAGCTGGAGAGCAAAGTGCGGAGGGGGGCCGGGGGGGTGTTAAGGATGGGTGGCACAAGGAGAGGGGGGCTCTGGGCTCTGATCCGACCCGGCGCTAACCCAGGACTCTGCGCTGGGTCCAAACCCCCAGGCACCCCCTTGCTGTTCCCGCTGGCAGAGTCACTGCAGAGTCAGGCAGGGGGGTGCCTGGCTCCCTTTGGGGACAAGTCTCCCGCCGGGCTCCCACCAGGGGGACTCGCTGAGGGGGCTCCCGGCATGACGTGGGGGCTGGGGGCTCTGAGGGTCGGTCCCTGGGGGGGAGCCGAGGGGCTGACCCCAGCGAGTGTGACCCGGAGGGGGCCGACGCCCTGCAGGGGCCTGCCAGGGGCTGTCCTGGACCTGGGACAGAGCACCGGCCTGTGGATCCCTGACACCTATATTTGACCATTTCCAGTTTCTGGTCCTCCAGAAGTTCTCCAAGCTACCGGCCAATGGCTCGGAGATCTCTTCAGCCAGCTCCTGGAGTGTTCTAGGGTGCGTTTCATCGGGCCCTGCTGACTGGAAGACATCTAACCTGTCTACAGTCTTACCTTGCTCTTTGCCTACCCTCAGAGCTAGCCTCAGCTCCTGCCCCATTCACACTGAGGCTGGCTATGTTTGTCATCTGATCGCTGCTAACGTTTGACCATAAGAACGGCCATACTGGGTCAGACCAAAGGTCCATCCAGCCCAGTGTCCTGTCTTCCGACAGTGGCCAGTGCCAGGTGTCCCAGAGGGAATGAACAGAACAGGGAAACATCAAGTGATCCATCCCCTGTCGGCCATTCCCAGCTTACGGCAAATAGACGCTAGGGACACCATCCCTGTCCATCCTGTTCAATAGCCATTGATGGACCTATCCTTCATGAACTTACCTAGTTCTTTTTTGAACTCTGTTATAGTCCTGGCCTTCGCAACATCCTCTGGCAAGGAGTTCCACAGGTTGACTGTGCATTGTGTGAATAAATACTTCCTTTTGTTTGTTTTAAACCTGCTACCCATTAATTTCATTTGGTGACCCCTAGTTCTTGAGTTATGAGGAGGAGTAAATAACACTTCCTTGTTTACTTTTTCTATACCACTCATGATTTTATAGACCTCTATCATATCCCACCTTAGTCGCCTCTTTTCCAAGCTGAAAAGTCCCAGTCTTATTAATCTCTCCACATACTGAAGCCGTTCCATACCCCTCATCATTTTTGTTGCCTTTTTGAGATGTGGCAACCACACCCTCACGCTGTATTCAAGATGTGGGCGTGCCATTGATTTATATAGAGGCGTTATGATATTTTCTGTCTTATTATCTATCCCTTTCTTTATGATTCCCAACAGTCTGTTCGCTTTTTTGACTGCCGCTGCACATTGAGTGGATGAGGTGAAAAGTGAAACCAAACAGGCATTTAGCACTTCAGCCCTTGCTGTGTTTTGTTATTCTCTTTCCCTCCTCACTGAGTAACTGGCCTACCCTGTGCTTGGTCTTCCTCTTGCTTCTCATGTGTCTGTAGAACGTTTTCTTGTTACCCTCTATGTCCCTATGGCTAGTTTAATCTCGTTTTGTGCCTTGTGTGACCGGCCGACACTCGTAGCCTGGCAGCTGCTGGCCGGGCCCCCTCCTCTGCAAGGAGCAGCCGGGGGGGGGTTGATGCAGCCCAGGTGACCGGCTGGACCCGGAAAGGGACAAAGGACGGAGGAGGGCAACAGGTGTGATGGAGGCCGGGCAGCTGGAAGCGAGTCAGTCTCCTGGTTGGGGACTCGGGTCGAGGGCCCAGGGCCCTGCCTCCCATGATAGACTTTGCCCAAGGTCCCTGATCTCGGTGCTACCAAGCTCTGTTCTACGCTGGGTTCCCAATGATAATAACCCGTCTGTGTCAGACGCGGGCGGGGAGTCACGGCTGGCTGCGGTGTGGGGGGCAGGGCCCTTTGGGGGTGAGGCTCCCCCAGGGGTCCCACCCAGGGAGACTCACTGCAGGGAGCTCCCGGGGTGACCAGGGGGCTGAACGCTCCGAGCTCAGACCCAGGAGGTGCTGAAGCGGAGCAGGGTCCTTGCCCTGGGACAGGTGCCCTGAGGGGAGACGCTGCCCCAGAGTCCTGCTTGGCGTCACTCCGAGCTGACCCTGGGCAGACCCTGGCCATTTCTGGGAAGGCTGAGGAGGCCTAAGGAGGTCTGTGCCCCCTGCAGGACCCTCTCCCTGCTTAGGTGCCACCCCTGGGCAAGCCCCTACTCTCAATGGCCCCCAGGCTCACCCACGCGGAAGATGAGCTCGTCCTCGATGGGGTTCTCCTTCTTCTTGCCGCTGCCGTACATGCTGGAGGGGCGCCGCACAGCCTTCTGCCGGATGTGCCCGCTGCTGGGGGACTTGACGCGGCGCTTGACGTCGTCGGGCGAGGGGGGCACGTCGCAGGCCTTGAGGGCCTTGGTGCGGAAGGGGCTGCCCCGGATGGGCTGCCCGTACAGCAGGATGGAGAGCAGGAAGTCACCCTCCTGCCGCGGCGTGTACACCAGTTCGTAGGTGCCGTTCTTGTTGTCTAGCACCTCGGCCTCAGCCCGGCCGCCGTCAGGCGCCGTCACCTGGGCCTGCAGGCTGGCGCTGCCGCTGCGCACCAGCTCACCGTCCTTGTCCTTGGTGGTGATGGTGAGGGAGGAGGGCTGCCCCACCACCGCGTGCCGCAGCCCCTCGCCCGTGGCCACCGTCTTGTGGGCGATGGCGCTGGTGGTGATGAGCACGCCCAGGTTGAGGATGGACTTGCGGACGCCGTCCGTCTCCACCACGTAGTCCAGCTGGTCGTTCTCCTGCGGCTGCTCGGGGAACTCCTGGCTGGCCAGCGCGCTGAGCCGCTCGCTCATCTGCTTCTTCACCAGCAGCACCTCCGTCTCCGTGCCGTGGTGCAGCGCCTGCTCCGTGAAGGTGCAGCTGCTCAGGATGTTCTCCTGGCCCTGCCGCAGGGCGTCCAGCTGGGCGTGCAGCACCTGGGGAAGGGGGACATCAGCCAGCGGGGCAGGGGGGCAGGGGCAGCCGGGGGGCAGGGTGGGGCGGGGCTCGGGGGCAGGGAGCCAGCAGGGCACGGGCAAGGCAGGCCCAGGTGGATGCTCAGCTACACACTGCTCAGAGGGACAATGCTGCTCCCCCTGGGGCTGCAGGGCCGTGAGCGGGGGGGCAGCATTGTCCCTCTGAGCAGTGTGTAGCTGCCTTGCCCGTTGCCAGGCCTGGGGGGCACTTCCTTGGACTTGTCTCGCAGGTTGCTCTGCATGGCAGGGTCTATGGGGGGTATGGGCACGGGGCTCCGGAGGTGCTGGGTGGGTCAAGCAGGTCTGGGGGGGTAGGGGGCTGACACGCAGTGGGAATTTTTCATATTTTAGATAAATATTGTGTGCCTCAGTTTCCCCTGGGTTGTGCGTGGCTCACTAGGTGGGGAAAGGTGGCTGGCAGAGACCCAGGAGTCGGCTGAGACTGCGCCTGGCTGCCTGGGGCCCACGGCCATGGGGAGCCCCACAAGACAACGGCCCCTTCAACTGCCCGGACATCTGGCAGCTAGCAACTAACGCCCAGGGATGGGCCCCGCTCTGCAGGGAGCCAGCCGGTGCGACCAGCTGGAGAGCAAAGGGCGGAGGAGGGGCCGGGGCGGTCGCCGGGCTGCCGTCCCCGCTGGCGGAGTCACTGCAGAGTCAGGCCGGGGAGTGCCTGGCTCCCTTTGGGTACAAGTCTCCCGACGGGCTCCCACCAGGGGCACTTGCTGAGAGGCGGGGACCCTGAGAGGCGGGGACTCCGAGGCGGGGCTGACCCCAGCCAGACCAGAGCACCAGACCACAGGCAAATGGAGGGGGAGGGGGAGGGGCTACCTTCTGCTTGGCGCTGCAGGTGGTCTCCAGGTCACGCACGAGCAGCCCCTTGCGCTGCTGCAGGGCCTGCTCCAGCTCCGCGAAGGAGCCGCTGATCTCGCCCACGGCGGCGTTCTTCCGCTCCAGGAGCTGCTTGCTGATCTCGGTCACCAGCCCGATGGCAGCCGTCAGCTGGGGCAGCCTGCGGGGGGCGGAGCCGTCAGCTGGGGCAGCCTGCGGGGGGCGGGGCCGTCACCGGGGGGCGGGGCCTCCCTCCAGCTCCCATGGGGCAGGGCCTCTCCCCCAGCCCCTACCCTCCCAGACGTCAGGTAGGGCAGCCTGCGGGGGTGCAGGGCGGTCACCCGGGGGCAGCCCGCTCCCCACCTTTGGCTCCCACAGGGAAGCCTCCCCCCACAGCCTCCACGGGCAGCCCGCCCCCTCGACTCCCACAGGGCAGCCCCTCCCCACAGCCCCCACCCATCATCAGCTGGGGCAGCCGGGGGGGGGGCAGGGAGTTCACCCGGGGGCAGCCCGCTCCCCACCTTTGGCTCCCACAGGGCAGCCCCTCCCCACAGCCCCCACCCATCATCAGCTGGGGGGGCCGGGGGGGGGGGGGGGCAGCTCCGTAGCACCCCCCCCCGGGAACCAGCCCCTGCCCCTCCCTGCAGCGGGGGCCCCGTACCGGCTCTTGATGGCGTCGAGCTGCTGCTGCAGCGCGGCCTTGTGCTGCTCCACCACGTTGCGCAGCGGCACGGTGACATGCTCCCGGTGCTCACCCTCTGTGCACTCGCGGCACATGGCCGTCTCGCACGACTCGCAGTAGAACTCCATCACCTGGGGGCAGGGGGGGGGCGGTCAGGGGCTGCCCCTCTCCCGCAGCTGCAGGGCCCCCAGCCCTGGCTGTCCAGGCCCAGGGGGGTGGCTGGCACCAGGCCAGAAAGCCCCCTCACTCTCTCACTCAGCTCCCGGAGAAGTGGGGTCACCCTGGTCTCTCCCCATCTGCTCCTGCCTGGGCCCCCTTCCCCAAGCCAGGCTGGCACCCAGCTCCCTGAAAAGTGGGTTCACCCTGGCCGGGCCCTTTCTCCCAGGGGCACCCACCTCCCCAGGAAACAGGGGCACCCTGCCCCTCCCCCCTAGGCCAGGGGCACCCACCTCCCCAGGAAACAGGGGCACCCTGGTCCTCTCCCCCCCGGGGCTCCTGTCCCGGCCCTCCCCCCGGCCAGGGGCACTCACCTTGCCCTCGTGGTTGGGGCAGGAGAGCGGCTGGCCGGTGACGGCGCTGACGGGGTCCAGCGCGGCGGCGTCCGGGCGGCTGCTGCCCTCGGGGGAGCGCTGCAGCACCTCCATGAGGTTGGTGATGAAGAAGTTGCTCTGCAGCGCGGCCACGCCCTGCTCGGGCAGGATGGAGGTCTGGCGGCACACGGGGCAGGACAGGGTGAGGCTCTGGGGCGGGATATAGTTCTGGAGACACCTGGGGCAGAGCGGGGAAAACGGGAGGGTCAGGACTCCTAGTGCGGGGGGAGGCGTGGGCCAGGGCGGGCTGCCAGGGAGCCAGCACCAGACAAGCGGAGCCTATGGCAGGGGAGACGTCGGGATGAACAGACGGACGAAGAAGAGACGGACGGACGGACGGACGGACAGGGGGAGAGACAGACAGTCAGGCGGGGAGGGAGGGGATCCGGACAGACGAGCGCAGGCCGAGCAGCGGGCTGCTCCCAGAGACGAGCCAGCCACGAGCCCTGGGAATGGGGTGGGACAGGCGGACGAACAGGTGAGCAGGTGCGGGGCAGCGGGGGGAGGGGGGAGACGGGGCAGAGGGAGATAAAGTGAACACCACTGCAGGGGTGTGCGGACGGTCAAGC